GAAATGGACGTTGTACCGAAGTAACCTCAAAAGGTCTTTTCAGTTGGTAGAAGCTGATTCAACAAAATTTATTTATTCATTTTCATTCATTTCTTTTCTTCTCCATTCATTAACTCAAATTATTTAATAATGATATCCTGATAAAAGTTATCTCCAAGGAAATTATTTTGAGTTCTCGTAGGACACGCATGCAGCTGGTTTTGTGTTCACACGCTGAGCACGCTGGGGTCGAGCAAACCATGCTAATGGCGACTTCGTTGAAAGATGATGTTACAATGGGAGAAGCGTTCTTTTTGCCTTAACCCCAGGTGTTTAACTTATAAATCCTGAGCCTTCAGCTAGAATTTATCTTCCTGTTCTGGCCCTGTCCTGGGCACCAGGATCCTGAGCTGTGTTTCTGTCTCTTGAACCACAGGAATCCTGGGCACACACGTGAAACCCACTAATGCGCTTGTTGGATCCCAGCTGTGGCTTTCAGCACCAGGTGGCCCTTAGCTGTGACTTTAATTTCTGTGTCCTTCACTACTAAGCCCCATAGATGCTGAATGACCAGACCTTGGTCATGCCTTGTGCTGTAAGGAAACCAGCAGAGGGGGAGGTGAGCAGAGTATGAAAATCATGTATTTACAACCAGCAACATGACTTACTGGCAGGTCCTTTGTTCAAACACTATTAAGAATTTAAAAATCATGACAGCAGAGTGATAAACCAAGTGTGGGGTCCTTCTGAATGCGGGGTTCTGAACACCAAAGATACAGTTTTTGAGCTCGTTTTCATTTATTACTAAATTAATGGCCAGAATCCTGCAAGAAGGGATATCCCCTATGAGGCATGACACCTCAGATAAAACCAGAGCATTCTTCCTTACCTTGAAGTCTGCTGCCTCTTGCCAAGTCCCTCACTCATCAGGACAGCTTTGTGTTCACAGTCTTCAGCAGTACTGGGTGGCCACCATTGCCCACACAGAGAGGGCAGTCAGCAGCGTGAGGTGGTTCTGCCTGCTGTGGTCTCACCGCAGGAACAGAAAGCAAGAACTCGGGATGGAGGTGAAGGTGCCCAGCTGGGCTTGTCAGGAGTCCCATCTGTCAGTGAATTGAGAAGAAACAGAGCAAAACGACTCCTCCAATGTTGATGAGCCTGCCCCTGGGATTTGGAAACTTGATAACAGAGAAAACCAGTATAGACACAGGACTTTAACAGGATTATGGTCAATTAAGCAAATTAGAAAAGGATACTTGAAGGAGTATTTGGGACACAGGAGTCAAAAACACCAGGAAGACATGAGGAGTTTCCCTAAGACTCTAGACTACAGCACTATGTAGATAACTAACACCAGAATATTAATGGGGAATTATATCATTGCAGGAATAAAATTTACATTGAATTACAAGCTGTTTGCATCAAGGTCAAGAAAAACTTGTAAGGCTTATGTCAAGAAGCATTCTTCCCATCAAAACTTCAGTGGTGCATTTATTTTGGATTTGACCCTCTGGGGAAGGGGCATGGCCTCTCTTGACAGGAAGGTTCTGGGGACCAGACAGAGAGAATGAAGTCTCAGGATGACTTCCCTGAGAGCCCTGTTCCCCTTTCATCAACACACAGACCCAGAAGACCCCTCCATCCTGTAGCACCTGCCATGAGCATCAGGCTCCTGTGCTGTGCGGCCTTTTCTCTCCTGTGTGCAGGTAAGTCCTGGGCAGGGCCCCTGTGTGAATTTCAAGACCCGGACTCAATCATGTCCTTGGCAGAGTTCTCAGCACTGGGAATCTTGGAAGCCCAATGGGTCCCAGGCAGTGTGAGCCTCAGTCTGTGCCAGGTGCCTCTGCAGGCAGTCCTAGCCAGGCCTGGACTGGCCCCAGAGCCTCAGATGTCTCTGTTTTTGCTCTCTGGTCTTCCTCCAAGCTATCTTTTTGGGATGGGACCAGCGCTTTCGCAGCTGTTACTTTTCTGCTCATCATCCTGAGTACGAGGCTCCCAGGATGGAACAGGATTTGTATTTCAAATCCATCTAGACTCCCATCTCTCTCTCTGGGGACCACATTGCTTCTTCTCTCCAGGGTTTTCCCCAGTCCCCACTCTCACGTGGTCTTACCTGTGGCCCGCCTTTCCCATCTGAGCAGTCCCCTCCGAAGGGCCTTGTTGGGCCTCTCCGCAACACCTCCCCTCCCCTTCTACTGCAGCCATGAGGCTGCCTCTTCTGTGCCTCCTTCCTTCCCATCACAGAGACCTCAAAGGCCATTTCCTCCACCCTGGGCTAGTGCCTTCCTTTCTGCAGTGGTCAGCTTCTACCTGCATTTCTGATCTCAGCGTGATCAGCCCTCCTACTGGAAGCACCCCCTCAACTCTCAGCTGAGGTCAAATTTCAATTTCCCTCTCATAAGCTCTCATAGAATCATGTGCCTGTTAGCAAAGTTCAGCACAGTTGCAATTTTTCCTTGCAACTTGTCTTACTCGTTTTGTGCTCCACTTAATTTTAAACTTTATGAGGGTGAAGGCTGATCTTGTTGCATTCACCACCAGCAGTGCCTGGCAGGCAGGGAGTCCTCATTCATTTCACAGAGCCTGGATGAGTGAATGACAGGTGAGTGAGTGATGAGTGGGTGAATGAGCCAATAACAAGAACACACTAGATTCATTGTACCCTGTCAGAGATCTAGAGTTAACTTTGCCTGAGATGCTGTGCTATGAGCTCATCAGGGGGCACTCGCTTGTTGAACAAG